TGGCTTTTGGAATTACTGCTGATTTCCATTGTGGCTAATATAACCTTAGGTGGTTATAAAAGATTTAAGACTAGTAATCTACGATCACCTTGATCGTTCTCATGCAAGGAACATAATAATACAGTCAGTGGGTCAGTCCTCAGACTGACACAGACTCAGGTAGATATTCTGACCCAACACTGTATTAAAAAGAACCCCAGGGGTGTTCTGTATGGCCATGTTTCTATTATGTGAAGAGACAGAATTTTCCTGAGAGAAGAGCTGACATCTGGTAGCAGAGACCTGAAAGCAGAGAACAGCGGCTTAGATGTAATTGGACACATTGGTAAACTGATCTCTGCAGAAGAAAGTTTGTCACACTGATACTTGATCCTGGCCTTGCTACACTATTCAACCGAGAAGTAAAACAATCTCTGACAGAATGCTCTCTGGCAATTAGTAGGCATGGGTTCAGACTAGTGGTGCATCAGATGTGAACTTCCACCACCATGTTCCCCCCCCCCCCCATAATAACATGGGCAGGAAATTAAGTTCTCCCTTAATTTTATATCCTGTATATGGTAAACTCAATGCTCAACAGTGGAGAAGTCGGGGGAAGTCCATACATAGGAAGGACCTTGTACGGCTGTCCACATATCATTTCCACGCAGTCTTTAATAAATAGGTTAATCTACCATAGCTTTACTTTATTACTCAGTCTGAGCCCATTTTTACTGGCAAGGGTCTATTTTAGCTGGAGGGGCAGCAAATTTAAAGGCACACTCATTTGTTAAGGCTCCTTTGATTCTAGTGTGTCCCTGTAATAAGGGATGGGGGCGGGGAATCAAAAGCTGGCCCTGCATAGGTGACTGGTTGAATTTGGGTTTATTTGGCTTCTACTGGACTTCTTAGTAGTAACAGCACACCTTGTACAGGGATCAAAATTCATATATATATATATATATATATATATATATATATGTCTGAATTATCCAGCATGAACTAAAAGTCTTGTACCCATCTCAAAAATGGGTGGTTCAGTAATAATAGCATTTAAAATAAGAGAGGCAGCTTAATTACTACAAGCCTTTTAAACTTCTCTGGTCAGACCCTCTGTAAACACTGTCCTGGATGGCTGTCATTGTAAAACCTGAAGCTAGAATCATCCCATAATAGCTTCCTAACCATATGTTGCACTTTCTTCCTCATATTGTAAAAAAATAATTTGACAATGTTCCACAGGGTGATTATTTCCTTTTGGTGTCAGAAAGAGGACAGATTAGCCTGAATTAATACTTCATCATGGCAAGCGGGCCTTTGAATTGGTAATTGGCATTGTCTGGTAGAGGACACAGTAGTAACATGAGCAGTATACAATTTTTATGTCAAAATATTGCAATTGTAAATGATAAATAAAAATATATGTGGATTGGAAACCTATCTTATGGGTGGCAAGCGTGTCTTTATATCCAAGACTGATCAGGGACTATGTAACCTTGGAATTCAATATATTGTTCCGGAATTTAGTAAATATTTCAGATTCAGACTAAAGATACCACTTGCGGAGTGGGGTCTATGAAGCTGCTTGAGTTCACATAAATGGCTTGCATTTGCTTAAGCTGAATTTCTGATTTTTCTTGTTTCTTTGGAGAGCTGACCTGCCCACCCTGTGCGCCATATCATAACCTACTTTTGACAACACCCTCCATTTCAAAAGCATTTGGGCATGTGCCGTTGCTGTGGTGTGCTTTCTTGGGGGTGGGGGACAAAGTCTTAAAGCTATTGTGGCATCATGTACCTAATTTCAGGTTTCTTAGGACATGTTGCCATAGTTTTGGGAAATCACAGTAATAACAAATGTCATCCAACAATCCCCATTCCTAACACCATGCCATTAAAAAGAAAAAAAGGAAAGAAGCATCACCTGGGTGGAAACCTGAAACATTGATGAGTGCAGAATTCACAAGCAACTCTAAAGAACTGCTTGCATAATGTAAGTAATTTGTTTAGAATAGACAACGCAGGGCTAAAAGGGATGCTGTTGGTTCTGTCTTTGTAAATAATGTAAATTGCTTTTCTGCTTTTACTGCTTTTAAAAGATGCACCAAGGGGCAAGGGTGGAGAGTGGAATTTTCTTTCTCTCCAAATCCTGCAAGCTGTAACTGAGGACTGGGCTTTCAGCATCTTCCTGTGCTGGAGACACAGTTGGCTTTTTTTTTGGAGCATCAAATGCACCTCCTTGGTGAAGAGTTCTATCATCCAAATGGTTTCTTGCTTCCAAAGTTGAGTCTGCCTTTCGTACTCTGACCATGTCAGGACTCTCAACAGCAGCCTGTGGTCAGAAACACAATGGCATTGGTATGAGGAGAGTCTAGGTGTAGCTGGGGTCAAAGCACAATAAAGCCTAAGCAAGCACGGTCCAAGAATCAGGGCAGGATGATGAGTCAATGAAAATGCACAGCATAATATGTAAGATTGTTCATAAGAGCTTGGAAGTAGAAAGTCTTGTGTTGTTCCAGCATCCACGAGACCTAAACTGAGGGCTTACGTCGCCTGGTGCCCCAGACTCTGTCAAGGACCAGTGTTCTGACAACTAATTAACCCTGCTCCCCAGAAGCCCATATACTCATGAGCAGCTCTATTCCACTAGAATTTGGGGTGAATAATCATTTGTTGGGTAACTGCTTGAGCTTGGAATTTCTGGTCCGTAAGATAAAAATGATCACAGGAGTTCAGCACAGAATTCCATGCTATCTGAAAGCATCGTGGAAGTGACAGATACATCTATTTACTAATGCCCTATTTTTATGATTGTGTGGGTGGGTGTGCTAAATAACAGCCAGAGACAACATGATGGTCTTGGTCTGTACACCATGTTAACAAAATTCATTCCCGAAAACAAAATGGGGATGGCTGATGCCAATATTGTTGTATCAATTGGATATGGAGAACTGGGGAGGGGGAGAATAGATCAATGAATGTGGGGTGGTGGTGGGAATTATGTGAAGTTTGTGAAGTATGAGTAGTTGTTTGTCATGCCTTCCCATCCAGTTTGTCATGCTTTCCCATCCATTCAGTAATATGGACGTATAAATGGAGAGTGCAGATTCATGACAAAACTACGTTGAGGCCACACCAGGAAGAGGGACTCAGACCATTCAGTAAAACCATATGGTTTCAATAAAACTATATTATGTAAGTGAATAAGTTTATGTGTATAATAGGCACAACGTCTACCAAATGGATCTTGCATTATAATTTTAGTCTATTTTTTTTTTAAAAACGAAACAAACCAAAAACCTGGTAATTCCTTGTGATTTGGAGTCTTGCTTTTCTTTCTTTATTGGAAGTGAGATGCTTTTGACTGATTTTTATTGTTGGGGAAACAATATAGACCCACGGCAACTTGATGCTTCTAAACATTGCGCTGCCATAATTCATTCTGTCTCCTGTACCACCAGCAGTGTAAGGAAATGTGTGCTCAAATAATCTATGCCTGTGATTTTCCTGGAGCCATAGTGGGACGCTTGTGTTGGTTTGCATGCTAATGTTCTTCCTGGCACATCACAGCTGTGCTCAGGTTGTGAAGCAGCTAGCACTAATGATGTACCCTCTACTGAGTGCAGTGCACTAGGATTTCTTTTGCACAAACCCCATTGAAACGAATGGGTTTTTCTTCCTGTTTATTCAATGCTCATTGAATTTAGTAAGGCTTGTGCTTTTGCTATCTGGCCTCGCACACACCTTGAATTGGATGAATAGACAAGGGCAGGGAAGATCCCTGGAAGACATCCACCAATTTATCCACTTCTATTGAGAACAAGCAAAGCTACTTGAGTAATCCTGCAAGGTTGCATTGCCTACACCTCATAATCTGTGTATTCAAGACCTCGGAACAATTTAACAGGATTAATAAAGTGTGATTGCTCCTATCAATCTCTAGGTGGAGATCACTGACACAGTCTGGAAGCACAATTTCAGTGCTGTCTGTGCCTAGGCTGGAAGCCAGGCTAGCTGTACTCTTCTGCAAATGCAATTTTAATTATAATATTCATTATTCACAGCTGCATCAGTTCAGACTTTTCAATATTTGCTACCAAAGCAGCCAACATTCTATGCCTTGCACATTTTGCTATCATCCACAGTCCATCATGAAACTCCAGTGTATAACAGAGTGGCCCTCAATCAAACAATTTCTACCCTGTGTTCTAATGGATTCTTGAGAACTGCCCTGTGGGTTGGTGCACATCCCCTAAATTTGGTTGTTGGGTGAGAAGCTTTTATTCCCCTTTCAGCAGCAAACATATCTCTTGCTGACACAGCAGTATGTGTGTGTGTGTGTTTTAAGAGTAATGGATGCAATGCCTCTTATGCAGCAACATGAGGCAGGTAAGGAAGCAGGATGCACACACATGTAAACATACCTACTGGGATCAGTGCCTGGCTTTGCACTTCAATAGTTCATTCTAAATCTTATTGAAAAGTTGTGGGGGGGGAGGGGTCCTGTTTTGCCTTTCTCTTGCCCCACATAACTAATGTGCATTTTGTGCTCTACTTTTGAGTCCAATTTTTCTTCTGCCTCAATACATTCCGAGGTGTGATCCTAAGTTTCACTTGATGGCATGAGTGCACTTTGATTTAATTAAATAAAGCAGGACTGAAATGATAATGATCTCTGTTCTCCTATTTTAGGAACCATGGAGTGTCACTTTTCTGCCAAGATCATTTTCCTTGCCCTTCTGTTCTCGGAGTGGGTCTGCTTGGGTAAGTCTTTCGGTCATTGCTCAACTATTATTTCTTCTCCCCTTTCTTTTTTGCTTACTTGAGTACCAGTGGGTTCCCAGAGAAGGGTTGATGTAATCCCTGGCTAACTTCATCACTTGCCCGAATCTGAGGCCTTTTTTTTCTGCCTGTGATACCCTGGACAAGTTTTTCCACTGATGGTTATTATATCTTAAAATCTTTAATAGGTTGTCTCACTTTCAGTTCTCCTTTCCATAATGCTAGAATTCACTCAATCTGTTCAGCAGTAGCAAAATTGGTAGAGCATGAGACTCTTTTTTTCAGGGTCATGGGTTCAAGCCCCACGTTGGGCAAAAGATTCCTGCATTGCAGGGGGTTGGACTAGATGGCCCTTGGGTCCCTTTCAACTCTAGAACTCTATGGTCATGCATGGTGCCTGGCTGATGATCTAGGAGAAACATTTTGCCACATTCAGGCAGCTGAATGATTAATATGGTTAATGTGTGAGAAAAGGCTCCGTATGAATTCATCCTTCAGTGGAACTACTGGAATTTTGAATTAAACACACACAGACAGAGAGAGAGAGAGAGAGAGAGAGAGAGAGAAATTAATGGATGAGGTTTGTTGGTTGCCTTACTGGCTCTCACCAGAAAGTGCAGGAAGTGGTGGGAGCATTATTCGTTGCAGAGATAACAGCCTTTTTGAAGCTTTCAAAGATCAGTTGTACTGAATAAGTTTTTATTGAGGTTCAGCAAGTTTACAAGCGTCCACACCTCCTGACAAAACAAGCTGAGCTAAATAAGCGTCCTGAGCTAAATAAGCATCTTACTCTAGGAAGCACCTGAGACTGCCTCTTCTTTGTTCTACTGATCTTGGCGCTTTTCCCTCCCTCCTGTGAGAAGCCCCATGCCACTTCCGAAAAGCCACACCTGCCTAAATGCACTAAGAGCAATGTGATGCAGCAGGCTGTTGCTCCCGAGGCATTCTGGGAAGTGCAATGGCATAAAGAGGCAGGGGGAGCCTTGTGCTGCTGTAAGCAGCCTGCATCTTAAAAAGAATAAAATAAAATAAAATAGAAAAAGCAAGGGGGGAAGGGACTTTGGCCACTTTGTGAGGTAAGTAAAGTTGGTAACAACTGCTCCTGAATATTTTATGGATATTCTCCCCTGTCAGGATTTTTCAGAAGGTTTTCATTTTGTTCATACCAACATACAGTGGTACCTCAGGTTAAGAACTTAATTCATTCTGGAGGTCCATTCTTAACCTGAAACTGTTCTTAACCTGAGGTACCACTTTAGCTAATGGGGCTGCCCAGTGCCATCGCACCGCCACCACGCGATTTCTGTTCTCAGCCTGAGGCAAAGTTCTTAACCTGAGATACTATTTCTGGGTTAGCGGAGTCTGTAACCTGAAGCATCTGTAACCTGAGGTACCACTTTTTTAGGATTAAAATAACAGCAACAAGAGCACAACTCTAGTTAATGCCCTTCAGTTAATCATCCTTTCTCACCCATGTGGGAAAATTCTGTAATTAAGAACAAACTTTACACTAAGGGAAGAAATTCAAAGTTTGATTCTCGGGAGATGATTTAGCTGCTATTTGTGTTAGTTACTTCAATACAATTGCATTAATGGTCAGAAGTTGTTGTATCTAGTAACAACTAGAAGATTCCTGGTTTTCCCAGCTGCAATGGGAGCAATGTGATAATTGTCCCAGGATGGCAATTGTTGTTGACTTCAGATTCCTAACTTCAAATGTAGGAACTGGGAAAACCCTTTGCTTGGATATGAAGGTGGCATGATCTGGCTCACTATAAGGTGTAAGTAAATTCGGAACAACTCTGTCACCCAATTAGCAGTTGTCAACAATGAAGTAAAGGCTAGTTGGTATTGCCACTGCTAGAGACGTAGAGCCCCAATAAGAGAGCTTTCCACATAGTGAAAGTGTCTTGCGAAATCATCCATTTGTGTGAAGATTTATATTTATTTACCATATTCTGGGAAACATGCATTTTCCATTATACAATAAAATCTATTCTTTTTTTTTGCACATAAAGTGCCTTATGGTGGCATATCTGTATGAAAAATGAACAGTGTGAATCAGAAATGTTCTGATTTTCTCATTTACCATTTCTTGTCTAATAGTAACTGAGCTGGCACTGGCTAACCAGGAAAGAGATCTTGGGAAGATGGTGGATAGCCCAATGAAAACGTCAATCCAGCGCATGGTAGCTTTTGAAAATGGCATATTCCATGCCAGGGGTACTTAGGAAAGAGATTGGAAATAAAGCTGCCAGAATTGTAATGACTTTATGGAAATGTACAATTCAGCCACATCTGCCATACTGTCTATGATTCAGGTCTATGGTTCACCCTGTCTCAAAATGGATATTGTAGAGCTAGAAAAGGCTTCACATAACCCTGTCTAAACCATTTGCTCAGTAAGAATCCCTTGGATCCTCTTGCCATTTGGGATCAGACTGGTGTGGGATGGTTGTGAATGGTGGCTTGGGGTGGGGGTGCTTACCTGACCTCCTGACTGTCACTCATCAGCCTTGTGGATACATCTTGGAGGGAGAGGTCTGGTGGGGAGGAGTGGAAAGAGATGGGGAATTTGGTAGAATCTGACCCTGGGAGAATGAGACGTGTTCATTGAGACCTGCTGGAGGTCTCTGCTGTTCCCACTCTATTTCCTGGTAATCAGCAGTGACTCCACTATCAGGAGGTCAGGTAAGCACTGCCACTCCACCCCACCCTCTGCTACTTGGTGTGGAGACTGAGAGAGAGGGCCTTGCTTGCCGCCTCTCGCGCTTGGAATGCACTCCCCAGAGAAGCTCATCTGGCACCAACTTTGAGGTCCTTTTAGTGCCAGGCAAATATTTCTTTGTCGCTGTCCATGGTACTGTGTCTTTGGATTTATGTATTTTTAATGGCTGCAGCTGCTTCTTCACTGCTTTTATATAGCGATGGTGACCTGGAAATCTTGCACTGAGCAGCTGACTATAAGTAGACAAGAAGGTGCATGAATTTTGTCTGTCAGCAACTATTTGCCACGGTGGTCAGATGCAACCTCCTGGTTCAGAGGCAGTATGCTACTGAAAACCAGTTGTTGGGGAGCAATAAATAGGAGAGCGCTGTTGTTTGCATGCCCTTCTTGTACACTTTCTTGGGGCATCTAGTTGGCCGCTCTGAGTTGCTGAAATAGATGGGCCATTGCTATGATTCAGCAGGGCTTCTCTTGGGATGTTCTTGCCGTGCTGAATGCTCTTCTGAAACTCAGAACGAGTAGCTTGGTTGGGTACACATCATGACAGGACTCCAATGATAGCACTCTTGCTATATAGCAATCTTGCTATATTGGAAATGCAGGGCCACAGACCACTAGCTGTGTGTGTGAGGGGGGGGGGAGAGGGAGAGAGAGGGGAGTGGAGGAATGAATGATGACTGTTTTCAGTTTGGTGTAGCTATAAACTGCAGCAAAACAGATCTTTTCTTTTCTTCCAAGCTGTGCATGCACACTGATTCAGTTCAGTACCTCAAGAGTTGAGTCTCCAGTGAAGTGGCATATATCTTATGCTAGGCTTTAGGGTCCCTTCTTCTTCCTCCTCCTCCTCTTCTTTTTCATCTTCACAGGAGTAGCTTGGCCATAGCCAGGTATATGCCTTTTAACCTATACAAGTCATGAGTTGGGGGGAACCCTATCCTGTTGTACTATTTACTATCTTGGTGCTTGACTGGAGAAGGAATCTGTAGCTGCTTTGGCTTCTTAGCAGCACAGAATAAAGGCGAGGGCAACTTCTGGTGCTGCAAAGTGAGCTGGGGGAAGCTATGAACTAAGGAGTGCAGCCGAACACTCCATTTGCAGTATCAGAAGTTGCCTCCATTTATCCAGTGTCACAGTTTCTCTGATAATGCCTTGTATAAGAGCAGAGAAACATATCAGGAGAGAGGAGAAATGGGAAAGAGCAGCACCCCTTTCCCATGTGCTTCAAACAGACTTCATGTTACCAGCCCAAATAGTTCTTAATATATGCCCTGTAATAAATAACACCCCTGTCTCAGCTATAAAGTGTCTGTCTTCAACTGGGATGCTTAAAAATTCATGGCATTCTGGCAGCCAGATAAAGGAGGCTGCTTCTCATTTTTTCTCCTTCTATTGCTCTGCTGTTGATCCCCCTGAAATAGTAATTTGCTGAGCGGGGGGAGAAAACAAGTCATTAAAGTTAGCGACAATGTGTTGAAAAGATCAGCAGCAGCAGCAGCTGCCTAAAACACCACCTGGCAAGAGACTTCCATGTGGTGGCATTAACAGCCTAGCACTAGTGAACTCCCAGGTGTGTATGTTTGTGTGTGTGAGAGAGCCCACCTCCCAAATTACAGCACCCCAGTAGGTAGCTTTTAAAAATATGTTCCTTGTAGGAAGACTTTCAAACTCTGCTGTCTTCAGATGTCAAAGGGCTCATTGAGACAAAGAATAGAAATGTGGCTTAGGTGTAGGGCTGGGCAATATATCCATATATCGTCTAAAACCAGTTTGAAGTCCCTGTCATGATATTGGTTTCATAATTTTTGACCTGCAATATATTGCAAACAGCATTCAAAATTCGCCAGGTGCATTTTGCCCTTAGATATCGGCCACTTGCAATCAAGTAAAGATGCCCAGACGCCAGGATAGAGTCTGATGTCTCCACCATCTGGAGATGCATGCTTGGGCATCCTTGGATCTTGCCTGTTTTCACACACTAGCAACACATCCTGTACAATTCTATTTGTGATATGTTATCTGCACAATCAGAACAAATTTCAGGAACCCAAAAGTTGGAAAATACGGCTTGCGAGCCATCTGGCCCCCCTAATGGCAACTAGGCATTTCACGTTGGTGACTATAACCCTTGTTTAAGAAGCCATTTGGCACCTAGTTTAAATATCTGAGTTTCTCACATGATGTGTGTGTGTGTGTGTGTGTGTGCGCGCACGCACGCGTGTGCTATGCAAAAATTACAGTGTGGGGAAAACCATGAAACCAGCCAATGCCTCTAGAATGCCTGATTTCAGCCATTGTGATGTATCAGTACATTGAAGTATCTAGCTGGTGATATGTTGAAAACTATATATCACCCAGCCCAACTCGCTGCCTTATATAGTCAGCCCATGAAGCACATTGCCTGGAAGTGGATTTCCAAGGCTTCAGACAGGTTTTCCCCCAGCTCAGGGACTGAGCATGGAATCTTCTGCATGTGCTGTATCACTGAGCTAGGGCCCTTCCCTTGCCTCCAGGTTTTTCCAATCTAAGGGATCTAGATAGGAATGAAACCTGCACCCCATAGCTGGAGCATGTGTGCTTTTGATAGCC